AGTGAAACAAGGCCATCTAGCCCCGGAGGCTCATCTCCCTCCCCATTTCCCACGGTTCACAGGACCAGGCCAGAAGGAGGAGAGGGGCATTGCTGAAGGTAGGAACAGCTTGTGACCTCTAGCACTTTTCCCCATTTGTTTTAAGATGTCCTCCTAGTACCTGGGGCAGGAGCCTAAGGGTATCAGCTTCACTGCAGTCAGCCAAAGCACACAGTGAGTGAAGAGGAAGCCTCTTTCTGTGGTTGGGAGTAGGGAGTGGGGGCCACTCACCAAAACACTGAATGCCATCCAGAGCTACCTGTGTGGCGCACTCAGCCGAGTAAAGAACCACCCCTGCGCAGTCCTGTGGGAGGAGGCTCTGGTCAGCGGGGCCCTGCCAGGGCCCCGCAGGAGGGAGTCCCAACAGCCGGCCCTTACCTTGGGAGTGCAGTGGCCCTGATCACAGGCCTTGGCAACATTGTAGACGTACTGCCGACACGCCATGAGGCGGGTGTACATGTCGGCCATCTTCCCCTGCATCAGCTGGGGACAAGGGAAGGTCACAAGTCAACATGCTGGAGCCACATTCCTCTCAGACGCTCCCCCTAGTTGCCACAAGCAGGTCAGCAGTAGTGACCTGATAGCCAGGCACGGGGATACCAGGGCACAGAGACAGCACTTGCCTAGGACAACAGGGATGGCCAGAGAGCAGCCGTCGCTATGGACTCTGCACACTGAAATGGCCTTCCACCTACGGCAACCCACATTAACATCCCACGGTGGCTTCAGACCAGGAGGTGTGACTAGAAATGCTGCTCCCTCTCCCCCTGCCTGCCTACAATCTGCACGCTTCACCTTGCAGCCTTACGACGTCTAGCTCATTGATCTCAAATAGGAAGTGAGGTGACCTGTGATCACCTTCCCGGCAAGTTCCAAAGCAAAGCCAGGGAGCATGCCGAGGTCTGCATTCCAAGCATTCACTCATGTTGGTGGCAAGAGACAGTAATAAATGAGACTCCTGCTCATTTATTAAAGAAAATTTGAGCCCAATGAAAAAAGTACATTTCAGCACAAGCATTTCCATTCACCTGGAAGTGGCCAATCTTCTGGCCAAAGGCTTCCCTCATGTGCAGGTAGGGAATGGTGTGGTCGAGGACAGCCTGCATGAGCCTGCCAGGAAAGAGAAAGACACTGGGGAGGTGCCTTGCTGTATCCCCATTGCCACCTGGGGTGGCAAAATGCCAATGTGGGAAGACTTGGGGGGGGGGTATAGCTTGGTAAGACAAGGAACTGGAGTCCCAGGGAGGAGAAAAGGAGCATGAGGACTCTTATCATCCCTGCTCAGTCACTGCACTGACTGCCCAGGCCTTGGGCCCCTTTCCCTGACACCAGATAGAGTGGCAGGACCCCTGTGCAGGCAGGCCGTAGGGCCTGGGCATCCTGTTCCAGCCTGATTAATTAAGCAGGATAGTCCCTTAGGCCCTTTGTCTCTCATATAATAATATTTACCTTCATTGTGAAGAAATTAAATATGGGAGGAGGACGTTTGTTCATTTCGTCTCCAGGAAAGAAGGTGCATCTTCCAGGAGGCGGCTCCCATTGGCCCCCAAAGGGAAGTCAACGATGGTACCGCCTGCCAAGGGGGCCAAAAGCCCAGCTCTGCCAAGCCTCATACTCACCCAAGGGGCCCACCAGCCAGCACCAGCCGTTCCAGGTCCAGCCCACTCATCAGCACGTAGACGCCCTTACCTAGATGGCCCAGGATGTTGGCAGCTGCCAGGAAAAATGCTGGTCAGAGGGAAGAAGGCTATTCACAGCCTCCTCATTTAAAAAAAAA